AAAAAAGGTGTATCTTTTAAGATCTTTAAATGCTTGGTGGTTTGATTTAAAGTTCAATATTTATTTAGAAATGTCAAGTAATATTCAGGAAGAGAATTCAATTTTGATTAGCTTTTTGACATAGTAATATATATTACCCTATTCATAGGCAAGGAAACTGAGGCACAGAGAGGTTAGGTAAGTTGCCCATGGTGACACAGCTAGTAAGAGGCAGAGACAAGCTTTGAGACACAGGTTGTCTGGCTGCAAAATTCAGGCTCCTGATTACTCAATCATGTTGCCTCTCTACTTAACGTATTGCATTCAGGATCTGAGTTGAGGACTTAACATGTCTATAGCCACCTTTTAGCAGTGGTTCTCAAATTGCAGTGTCAAACAGAATCATTTGGGATGCTTGTTAAAATTCAAAGCCCTAGGGGTGCCTGGGTGGCTCAGTCGGTTAAGTGTCTGACTTTGGCTCAGGTCATGATTTCATAGTTCTGGAGTTTTAGCACCTCATCGGACTCTGTGCTGACAGCACAGGGCCTGCTTCAGATCCTTTCCTCCCCTCCACCCTGCCCCTCCCCAACTTGCGTGCACGTGTGTGCACACACACACTCTCAAAAATAAACGTGAAAAAAAATTCGGAGCCCTAGGCTTCATACCCAGAGGTTCCGATTTGATAGGCATGTGATAGGAACCCTGTTTCAGACAAGTACCTCCAAGTGATGTTGATGGAGAGGGTGGCAGACCACGTGTGTAAGACATTGCTCTAGGAAATGAGCTGGAGTCCATTACTCAACCATAACCCCTCAGATAAGAATTCCAGAGAGCTGGCCGAGTGGCTCTTCTGTGTAGTTTTGCTGGATGGAGTCAGGGAATAGTCCTTTACCACTGTCTGTAAGCTGCATGCTGCTGCAGAAGCTCTCCCGTGGTTCCTTGGTGGTCACCAAACAGTGACAGTCGTGGGTTGACACGTTGGTCATCCGAGAGGGTTTATATATGAAGGCAGAGGCGGATCTGGGGAGGAGGACAGTACCATGCAAGTGTAAAGACAAAGCAGTTAGCTTAAAAACTTCCCATGATGCTCTAATGCTGACTCTTGCTGATTTTATCTGTTATCTTTGTATTTTGCAAAAATTCTTCCCTTTCTCATCGGGCGAAAGATGTGTGTGCCTAAGGTGGGAGGGGATTTGGGGGCAGAGTAACAGCCACGGCACGTAAGGAAGAAGGGGCAGTGTGTGTACCTCAGGCCAGATTGTCCTCAGGTTGCCCTGGGTGGACCAGCATTGGCTCTGTGAGGGTGTGGCAGCTTCTTAGAAGGCCATTTTAGTGCCTTTTGCAGGACATTCTTCCTCCTCTTTCTTGAGGATGACAGGAGATCACTTATCCGTAAGTAGACTTTCAGGGCAGGTAAATACAGCGCTCACATGTTAGGTGTGCATAGAAGTCAAGCTGTTGCGCGTATCTGCGCGTGCACTCACTCGTGTAACTACCACCCCGATCAAAATCCGCACGAGGCACCCTTCTCCTTCGGCACCCTCCCCTGCTTCCCAGATGAACCGCTCTTCTGATTTCCGTCCCACAGACTCGTGCCCGTTCTTGGCCTGTTCCGGCTGTACCTGGTAAGTGCAGTCCTACCCTCCTCAGCCTTTTGTGCCCGGCGTCTTTCACTCAAGCTTGCGTCGGGTGCTGCATTACTTCCTGTGGCCGAATAACATTCTGTTGTGTGGATGGGCCACACTGTGGTTATCCGTTCATCTCGCGACGGGCACCTGTGTTGTTCCTGGGCTTTGGCCGTTGTGACTGATGCTGCTGTGAGTGTGGGCCTTCCGTCAGCGTGGACCCGTGTCCCGGCTCTCTCGGGAAGTCCCTGGGGGGGGACCGTAGGGCTGGGTGCGGACTTCGGACGAGCTGCCGAAGCGGCCTCGTTGCCCTTCTTAAATGACTTTCTTCTCTGCGTTATTTTCCCCTTTGGGTTTAAACTGTTGTTGTTTTCCTAATCTCTGAAGGTGAATGCTTAGCATATTTTCAACTTAACTTTTTTCTGAAATATGTGTTTTCAGTTACAACTGCTTGTTTACTAGCACGCAGGCATCGGTATTTTCATTATTTTCACCTCAGAATTTTCTCATTTACTTTAAATCTTCTTGGACCAGTGTGTTTGTTTTCTTTTTTTAACATCTGTTTATTTTTGAGAGAGCGTGCGCAAGTGGGGGAGGGACACACACACACACACACACACACACACACACACACAGAATCGGAAGCAGGCTTCAGGCTCCGAGCTGTCAGCACAGAACCGGATGCAGGGCTCAAACCCACAAACTGTGAGATCATGACCTGAGCTGACGTCAGACGCTTAACCGACTGAGCCTCCCGGGCGCCCCCCAGTGCGCTCTTTAGAATGGTGCTTCTCAGTTTCCAAACACATGTTTGTTTTGTTTTGTTTCTAACTTAACTATTTTGTGGTCAGAGAATGTGCTCTTCATGGGACCGATTTTCTTTGCGGTTAGAGGTCCGTGCGGGAAGCCCTAAAGCATGCCGAGGATTTGGAGCACGAAGGGGTAGTGTGTAAGCCAGACAACTGGGCGCCTGCCATAGCCCTGGGCCCTGGCTACGGCCCGGGGCTCTAGAATGCAGTCACCAAAGGAACGCCTTCCTGGCGAGCCCTGGAACCGCTGGGTCCCTGGTACGTCCCGGGGACTGATTCAGGAGGCCGTTGCTCCCGCAGCATCCCCCGTCCCCAGGAAGCTGGAGCCTGAGCGGGAGCCCAGAACCCTCAGCGGCGAGAACCCTCCGCGTTCCTGTCCTTGCTGGCCAGCCGGGTGAGGCGGGAGGAGGAGCTCTTGGGAGATCAGTACAGCCTAATTCATCCTTAGCAACCCACGTGTAAGGGTCCGGGAATGGCATTTTGGGCTTGCTCACCTCTGCTTCATAGCGAGGCCCCCGCAGAGGCCGAGCAAGCCAATTTGTTGTGTTTATCACACCAGTCCTCTGAGATTGATTGACTTTCTTTAAGTGGACCAGTTTGCAGTCACTTTGCGTGAATGTGTATCATACAGCTGTCGAGTGTGGGGATCTGAGTGAATCTCAGTTTCCATCAGTTGTAAGATGTGGCATTATTTTGTGTGCCACTAAAAAGAAAAGAGCTGCTCATTAAACCAGACTTCATGATTTCTTCTCACTTAGAATGTTTCATTTATACCGATTGAGTTTTTAAATTTTGTTTGTTTGTTTATTTATTTATTTTGAGAACAAGAGAGTATGAGTGAGCAGGGGAGGGGCAGAGACGGAGGGAGAGAGAAGAAGCCCCAGCAGGCTCCATACTGTTAGCACGGAGCCCGACCTGGGGCTCGATCCCACAAACCTTGAGATCATGACCTGAGCCGAAATCAAGAGTCAGATGCTTAACTGACTGAGCCACCAGATGCCCCTAAACTTACTTAAACATTGATTTTTATAACTTTTTTTCTGTTGTGCATATATGTAAAAAGTAAAATATGAGCAAAATAAGTTGGTCAGGGTATTCCCAAAACTTCTTCACAGGGTCCCACTCTTCAGAATCACTCTAGGGAGAGAGTATTTGTGTTTTTCTACACAGCCTGTCCTCTGTGCCACCAAAGGCATGGTCACACAGCATTTCTCCAAAGGGTACTGCTTTATCACCTTTGGAACTTTTCAAAAGCTAAGTTTTTATGCTGTGCATTGGTGATTCTACCACAAGGTATCAGTGAAAAGTTTGAAGCAATAACCAAGCAATAACCTGTTATGCCCAGAATTCGTGATTCCCAAAGACCACTAGGGAGCCGAGTCCGATGCAAAAGCAAAGAGCCTTTATTCGAGCTAGCTCGAGCTCAATCCCCTACCTGCACCGACGCAGCAGTGAGATACCAGGGGGAGAGAGCGAGTTTCAAAAGGACAAAGGTGTTTTATTGGGGCCTAGGGGCAGTTGGTGAGGTAATGGCTGTGGCCTCAGCCGATTGGCTGGGGAAGGGTCCTGGGGAAGGGTCCGAGTCCTGTTAGGCAGGTGAGGGGGGGTTACTCAAGGGGAGGAGGTGTGGCCAAGGTGAAGGACACGGAACAGGATGGAGTCGGCCGGCGTAGGCCCGCCCTTTCAAACCCTTCATCAGATGGTTCTTAAGTTGTGTGTCTGTGACAGAAACATCAAGTTCAGTCATGCCTCTAGCAATAATAAGCATTTTCACAGATAAGGCGGTGACCTGTATATGTCACAGTTAATTTCAAAGATGTTAAAATGTGGGGAAAAAATGTGCGTCTTAAAATTGTTGAAGTACATTATGTCCATTAGTGCAAGCTTGTGAATTACGTTAGTCGAATCTGTATCTTTGCTTTTTTTACTTTTGGGAAAAGTGCCATTTTTATATATATATGTCAATTTTTGCTTTATGTATTCTGAGCCTGTGTTGTTAGTGGCATACAAATTCAGTCTTGTTAGTTGTGTAATTAATTGAACAATATGTCATTGTGTAGTGACTTTATCTTTGATTTCCTGTGTTACTTTAGTAGTAGCAACTTACCTTTGGTTTCTCTGGCACGGCATTGTCCCCTTTCACCTTAAGTCATTAGGCATTCTTCTATTTTGTGGGTGCCTCTTGTAGAGAACATTTAGTAGGATTATTTTATTTTATTGAGAGCATGAGCAGGAGAGAAGGGCAGAGGGAGGGAGAGAGAAAGTCTTAAACAGGCTGCATGCTCAGTGCAGAACCCAGTGCTGGGCTTGATCCCATGACTGTGAGATCATGACCTGAGCTGAAATTAAGAGTTGGGTGCCCAACCGACTGAGCTACCTAGGTGCCCCTAGTTGGATTTTCTTTTTTTAAGTCCAGGTTTTTAAACTTGGTCCTTTTTCCATTTATGTTCATTGTAAATCTATCAGTTATTTGTTGCTGCATAACGTAACAAAATATCCCTAAGTAAATATCTTTAAGTGACAATGGTTTATTTGGTGCCACCATTCTGTAAGTTGGCCGATATGTCTCTAGTCTGGGCCCACACACATGGCGGCATTTCATCTGGCAGGTCAGTGGGGCTGAGCTCCTCTCAGAAGGCCTCACTCCTTGGCAGGGGCCTCGTTGAGGCCTCAGTGGAGCTGGGTGCACCTGCTGGGACGCCTGGGACTCTCCCCATGTGCCACTTTCCACAGATTGCATTCTCGAGGGTGCCGACCTCGGCTTCTCCAGCACAGTGGTCTCAGGGTTCCAAGATAGCAGAGGTACCCGACCTCCTGGGACCTGGGCTCCGGGCCCTACACAGCATTACCTCTTGGTCAGAGGAAGTCCCCCAGTCAGGCCGGATTTGTCCAGGAGGAACTGCCACGTATCATTGATTTGTTCTTCATTCTACCATAGTAACCCCGAATCTATTTGGATTTCTTTTCTACTCCCATGTTTTATGTTTTGTATTCCTTTCTTTTTATTTTATTTTAATTCCAGTATAGTTAACATACAATGTTCTATTAAGTTCTCATATACAATATAGTAATTCAAGTGTTTTGTATTTCTAATGGATTTTATGTGCTTTTCTGGTCTTTTTTGGGTTTTTCTCTTTTTCTCCTGTTGGAGTTTTTCTTCCCCTGTCCCAATTTGGGCATATTAACTCTATTCCGATCCCTTTCTTGCTTGGCCTAGAAATGTTAAAGTGCATTTTTAACTTGCCACATCTAAAGTTGATCATGTGTACCCTCATTCTTAGAATGCTGAGAACTTTAGAGCGAATTCTTTTCCCTTTTACGTGCTATTGTTGTGAAGTGTTTTGCTTCTGTCTTGTATTTGCTGAGACATTATGGAGTCCATTTTTCTTTAGGTTTTCTCTGTAGGTTTCCCTCTTGCATTGCCCTTCTCCTGTCTTGAGTCTTTTTTTTGTTTTTGTTTTTTTTTTACATTTGTTTATTTTTGAGAAACAGAGTGAGACAGAGCATGAGTGGGGGAGAGGCAGAGAGAGAAGGAGACACAGAATCCGAAGCAGGCTCCAGGCTCTGAGCAAGCGGTCAGTACAGAGACAGAGCTTGATGTGGGGCTTGAACCCACGAACCATGAGTTCATGACCTGAGCCGAAGTCAGACGCTCAACCAACTGTGAGCCACCCAGGCGCCCCTGTCTTGGGTCTTTTGATTGAGGCTCGTTCTTTGACAACTTCCCTTCGTGATGGTGCACTGGTGCAAACTCCTTGAGTTTTTGTCTGTCTGAAAGTGGTATTTCACCAAATCCAAAGAAGGCTGGGCAGGGAATGGGTGTCGTGGGGCAAACGGAGGTGAGCGTGATGGAGGGTGAAGGGAGGTGACCGGGACAGGAGGGTCTGCATAGGTTTGAGCGGTGGACCCAGAGCACTCCCTGTGCAGAAGCTTGGGCTGCTTCGAGCTTCTCGCTTTCTTCCCACAGGGTGGGTTCTCTATGGCCCTGGCAGGAGGGCCACCGCTGCCCCCGACCCGACCAGCACCCAGCATGGCTAACGCGTGCCCCACCCTGTTAGCCATGTGAACCCTGCTGTGTCAGCTCACTGAGAGCAGTTCTTCGTGGTGATGAGACACTGGAGCTTATCTAAGAGCTCACAGCCTTCGTTTTTGTTCTTTGTGTAATCTCCTCACATCGGTAGTAGCGAGGAACTTGTGCTAATTTAACCTGTTCCTTTAGTGTTACAGGGCAGGTATTTGTCTATGTGGGCTAAACCACAACCTGTACAGATTTCCCATTTAATGAATCAGCAGGACCAGATGCCAAGCCCATGCTTTGCCCGTGTTGTACGTGTCCTGTGGAATTGGTCTACCTCTGAGCTGACCAAAACGCTAAGAAACAACAAAGAAACCCAATCCTAACAAAAATGTTGGTGTGGATTAGTAATCAAGGTAAAATTTAAGGGTAAGTGACATTACTTTTGATTAGGACGAGGCAGCCAAAAACGTGCATTTGTGAGTTAGCTGCATGTGATTATTTGAACTCTCCCTGTTATCACAGTTTTGTGCACTGGATAATTTGTTAGCTATCTCACATTTGACATACTGTGACTAAAATGTAGTGACAGTTTCTGGGCACAATTTGTATTTGGGGAACATTATTTTCCCCTGGAAGAAGTTAGAGAGCCACTGATTAACTAAATTGAAGGGGTGTGTGTGTGTGTGTGTGTGTGTGTGTGTGTGTGTGTGTGTGTGTGTGTGTGTGTGTGTGTGTGTGTGTGTGTGTGTGTGTAAAGTTGGTAAGGGAGTCATTAGACATAATTTATAAGTTGCATCTAAGTAGATTGGGATCTGTTCGATAACCAGATTGTTAATATCATTTGAAAATTAGAAAATACTTAATTCTGAGATACTATTTGCTTATATTTTATTTTTTAACCTTTTTTTTTGGATGTTTATTTTTGAGAGAAAGAGACAGCATGAGTGGAGGAGGGGCAGAGAGAGAAGGAGACACAGAATCCAAAGCAGGTGCAGGCTCCGAGCTGTTAGCACAGAGCCTGATGTGGGGCTTGAACTCAGGAACCGTGAGATTATGACCTGAGCTGAAGTCAGACGCTTAACTGACTGAGCCATGCAGGCACCCCGATTCTAAAGTTCTTGATACAGTACTGCGTACTCTATTTTGGTGGGTTATTTTAGTAGTATTGATTGATTGAAAGAGTGAGTGTGTGTGGGGGGTGCACTTGAGTGGGGGGTAGGGCAGAGAGAGTGGGGGAAACCATCTCAAGCAGGGTTCACACCCAGCTCCAGGCCTGACCTGGGGCTCCATCCCACGACTGTGAGATTGTGAACTGAGCCAGGATCAAGAATCAGATGCTTAACCGACTGAGCCACCCAAGTGCCCCAGTAGTTTAAAAAAAAATTTTTTTTGAAATGTTTATTTACTTTTGAGAGAAAGAGTTGGAGGACACGCAGAGGGGGAGAGAGAGAGACAGACACAGACACAGACACAGAATCTGAAGCAGGCTCCAGGCTCTGTGCTGTCAGCACAGAGTCCTGATGTGGGGCTTGAACTCACAAACCGCAAGATCATGACCTGAGCTGAAGTTGGATGCTCAACTCACTGAGCCCCCCAGTAGTTTTTAAATAGTTGTGGTTTTAATATATTCTGTGCCTTCATCACTCTGCCATCAAATGATATTAAAGCACTTTACATCTAAGATGAGAGCCTTCAATCTCTGTACACTGATTTCTCCTCTCCCAGGCTTTGTGCTGTTTTACGTTTTTGTATGTTATTAACCTGACCCATTTTGTTATTTTCACCTTAAGCAGTCCCAGTAAATCTCTTAAAGAGACTCCCATCTCAAGGGAACAGCGTTGATACACATAGTCACTGTTTTACGGTACTCTGTATTCTTTTGTGGAGATACAGATTTTCATCTGGGATCGTTTTTTTCCCCCTGCCTGAAGGACTTTGACATTTCTTACAGCACAGACCGCATCGTGATGAATTCTTTCAAGTTTCTATGTTTGGAAATGTCTGTCTCTCCTTCTTTTTTGAAAGACACTTTGTACGAAGGGTATAGAGTTGTGTCTGGCGTTTTTAGTAGCCATTTTGGGCAGGAGGCAAGTGTAGCCCCTCTTATCCCCCGTGGCTGGAGGCAGAGACCTCGCTTACACTCTGGAATTGGATCCATGCAGTCCTTCCTGCAGCACACAGACCTCACCACCCGTGAGCTGCCGTGCTTCTGCCGATCTCCATCCGTGTAGGTTCGAGCCTGAGAAAGGACCGAACTGAGGCTGCGTCCCCCGAATCTGCTCTTCGTGCTCCCTGGAAAATGTCACCGGGAGCACTTGGCCACCGAAACGGGAATTCCTTGCCTTCTTTCCACAGTGCTTTTCCCTCATGAAAACACTTCCATTTGCTGAAACCGCACCTGCTGCTTTGTGGCTGACTTAGACTCGTTCTCCTGTGGAGCTTGAGGTGATCATAAAATAAGGAGTGCCTCCAGCCTCCGCTGTCATTCTGCAGGTGAAGAACTGAGTCCCGGCTGACCAAGGGCTTTACTCAAGCCTGTCTCCGGAAAATCGGGATTCCATTTGGAAGCTCGTGATAGGAGCATTCAGTCGAAGTGATCTCGCTGACTTTTACCAGTAATTTCCAGTGAGTTTGCTTTTGTATTTTTTTAAAAAAGGCTTTTTTTTTTTTTTTTAAGTTTATTTTGAAAGGTGGGGAGAGAGAATCCCAAGTGGGCTCTGCACGGTCAGCAGAGAGCCCAATGCGGGGCTCGAACTCACGAACCATGAGGTGATGACCCGAGCGAAACCAAGAGTCAGATGCTTAACCTACTGAGCCACCGGGTGCCCCCCAAATTTGCTTTTTTTAATGTTTATTTATTTTTGAGAGAGGCAGAGTGTGGGGAGGGGAGGGGCAGAGAGAGAGGGAGACACAGAATCCGAAGCAGGCTCCAGGCTCCGAGCTGTCAGCACAGAGCCCGATGCGGGGCTCGAACTCAAAAGCCATGAGATCATGACCTGAGCCAAAGTTGGACGCTCAACAGACTGAGCCACCCGGGCGCCCCTAAGTTTGCTTTTTTTAAAGACAGGTTTTATTGAGTCTGGAAACAACAATTTTTGCCATATGTCCTTTTATGTGTGCAGGGAGTGTGTGTAACCATATATTACTTTTCCAATTAAATTAAGTACCAGCTTTCTTAGGAGAGAAAAAAAAGAAAAGAAAAACCAACTGCGGGACTTTTCTCTGTCATCTTACCTGATAGTGTCAACGTGACAGAGTGTAGGTGATGTCAGGCAGTGGATCCATACTGTGGAGTGCCTTCCCTGGCTGTGTTGGCTGCGGGAAGAGGGCTTGCCTTCTCTGAATGCGCTTCTCCTATTCTTAGTATGGTGTCTGCATGTGTGAGGGCAGCTGCATGTCAGATTATGGGACTGCAGAGGTGTTCCGGACGCAGAGAGATGCTGAGAAAACTTCCCCTAAACAGCTGGCGCCACAGCTAAATGTTGGTTTTCTCTGTACATTCCGGATGTCGAGGGAAATAATAGGGGCAGTGAGATATATGAATGACAGAACCTGGGCAGAGATCGGTCTAGGGTATTTCATCACCTATTTCTGTTCCTTTTATTTATTCTTTTTAATGCACCGGGGAGCATCTCCTTGTTTCCTGTTCATACTCCAGCCGGATACCCCAATAGATACTTCCATAAGAGATGGTCCTGGCTGTCGAATTCCAGAGACTTTTCTTTTTTACTCTCTATTATCACAGATTTCATACCTTAGAGTATGAAATGGATAATGAATACCCATATGAAATAGGCTTAACAGTTGTGATCATATTGCTCAATTCTTTTTTTTTTTTTTTTT